CAATGTATTAGAGTTTATCTATATTAACCAATTCCAAACTAGGTGAAAGAAATGGTCCAAAAAAGTTGCAACTGTTTACTTTCGACGGAGACTCATTTGTCGTGATCAAGAGAAACTGTGATGCTGCTTCAATTGCTTGAATATATCATGTTACCAAATGCAGGGTCCATTGAATTTATGAGAGCTTTTCTTGTATCCTACACATTTTTTACTAATATATTGACCATACCAATTCGTGCATGTTCAAGGCGGGAGTTTACTTCAATGCTAAATGGGCTGGTATCCTATGTTTTATGCAGTCCGGTGCAGGATGTAGCTGATTCTTGCAGGACCGGTGCTGCGACAAACGTGATATTTGGCTTAGCTCTTGGGTACAAATCTGTCATCATTCCCATATTTGCGATAGCCATCGCCATTTACATCAGCTTCAGTTTGGCTGCAATGTACGGAATTGCCGTCGCCGCATTGGGAATGCTCAGTACTATTGCCACCGGTCTCGCAATTGACGCCTATGGACCTATTAGCGACAATGCTGGCGGTATCGCGGAAATGGCCGGAATGAGCCACAAGATACGCGAGCGAACAGATGCTCTAGATGCTGCAGGAAACACCACGGCTGCTATTGGCAAGGTGAATATTAATCCGTGTGTGATATGAGCAAATTCTCCGGCACATAGCATGAGTAGTCTTGAATTTCTAGTGTTCCCATTGCCCTGTTCTTTTTCCTGTCCTAAGAAGAGTTTTCTGACATTGATTGCCTTTATTTAATAGGGCTTTGCGATTGGATCAGCTGCTCTTGTCTCTCTTGCGTTGTTCGGCGCCTTTGTAAGCAGAGCAGGCATCAAGACCGTGGATGTGCTCACACCAAAGGTCTTCATAGGGCTCATTGTGGGCGCCATGCTTCCATACTGGTTCTCTGCCATGACAATGAAGAGCGTTGGAAGTGCTGCTTTGAAAATGGTTGAAGAGGTCAGGCGCCAATTCAATACGATCCCAGGGCTCATGGAAGGAAGAGCAAAACCGGACTATGCCAACTGTGTCAAGATCTCTACCGACGCTTCGTTGAGAGAAATGATCCCTCCCGGCGCTTTGGTCATGCTCACCCCTCTCGTCGCCGGAACCTTATTCGGCGTGGAGACTCTAGCAGGAGTTCTCGCTGGTTCGCTTGTTTCGGGCGTGCAGGTACATATCGAATTCCAGTGTCTTAAACTGTGAATCATTTCATAGGACTTTGGTCCTCTTTAGTCTATATTTACATACGTGCATTGTTGGGTTGCCAAAATCTCACTATGCAATTGTTCTTGACATCATTTTTTTGAATGGTTTTCTTCATAGGTTGCTATTTCAGCTTCCAATACTGGTGGAGCATGGGACAATGCTAAGAAATACATAGAGGCAAGTTCTTGACTGTTTAGAATTCAATATCTTTTTTGCATAACATGTACATATAGAATACTTCGATTATTATGGATTCTATCAAAATCTCTTACCTTTACATGTTTCCGATTAATCGTTGCAGGCTGGGGCGTCTGAGCACGCGAAATCGCTTGGTCCCAAGGGCTCCGACCCGCACAAGGCTGCTGTCATCGGCGACACGATCGGCGACCCGCTCAAGGACACGTCGGGCCCGTCGCTCAACATACTGATCAAGCTCATGGCAGTCGAGTCGCTGGTGTTCGCTCCGTTCTTCGCAGCCCACGGCGGCTTGTTGTTCAAGCTGCTGTGAGTTGGTAGCATCACTTTGACTGTTTTTCAGGTTCATATATTTTTGGGATGGGAGTATATAATGAGCTAAAGCCACTACGCTGTAACTAGACAGATACAATCTGCAATTGACGCACCTGATTGATCATGAATAAGCAAGCCCATCATCCTTATATAAAAGAAGAACAAGAAGAAGAATAAGCGAGTCTATCACCATACATGTCTTGTCTCCGTTGATGGGAAGTTCATATGTCGTTTGTCTTGAAAGTCTGCATGTCCTTGTTTTACTTAATTTTGTCACCTGATTAGGCCACTTCAGTCCCCAACTCTGTAAGGAAAAAACAGGAACGAATCCCGCCTAGATGATCGTTACTTTTCTTTGGCATTCGTAATTTGTTCTCTTTAATAATAATTTACATGGTACATATCATTTTATAACTTCTACGCGATTCCCCTTTTTGTTATCGTAAGTTTGTGGGTCTTATGATTCGTAATATTTTTTTTTTTTTAGAAAATAGGGATCTGTCTAGATTACAGTAAATTTCTTTTCCTATGGTTAGTAATAAATTACCTAACGATCATAACTTTCCTTTGTCCTATGTAAGTGTCCTCACTAATAGGTGTTGATCTGTAAAATTTGTCTTTTCGCGACTTTTTCGTAGAGGACTTGATTTCCCATTGATGGTGCTAGAATCTCTTGGTTCTATGTTGTGTAACACTTCACAAAAATAATAATCCCGAGTTAAATTAGAATTTATTTGGGATATATGTGCACTAGAAATCTTAAAACTTATCACAAAAGCGCAATTGAGTACTAAAACTTTCAAAAAGTGCAAACAAGTTCTAAAACTTGTCACGAAAGTGCACTTGAGTCCTAAAACTTTCAAAAAGTGCAAATAAGTCCTAAAACTTATCACGAAAGTGTAAACAAGTCCTAAAACTTTCAAAAAGTACAATCAATGGAAGGACTTGATTGAATCAATTTGATAAGTTTTAGGACTTGTTTGCACTTTCGTGATAAATTTTAGGACTTGTTTACACTTTTTTAAAGTTTTAGGACTCAAGTGCATTTTCATGACAAGTTTTAAGACTTGTTTTCACTTTTTGAAAGTTTTAGGACTCAATTACACTTTCGTGATAAGTTTTAGGACTTTAAATGCACTTATCCCAATTTCTTTTATGTTACTGTTGGAAAAACATTTAAATGATCGTAAATTTCATTTACACCTTGTAACGTTTTTGCAAATTTAAAATTTTTTCCTTCCTCGTCATGACCGTTCGTAATCAAATGTAAGTTTGATCACATCTACGTTCGTAACTCTCCTTTAACGTCCATAAGTCCGACGAAACATCGATTTTGAGAAGCAAAAATGACGGACTACGTCTTCTCTATTTATCCAATGATCCACATTGAAGGCGTGACGGAATCGTGAAAACACTCGCGACACACCCGGGATGTCTTTTCCCTTGATACATTATTACGAATCAGCTAAAGTCATGATAAGCGCACTGAAAGTCACTCTATTCATTAAGCTAGAAACCAAACAGGAATAAATAATTAAGCGATAAGTGCACTGAAAGTCTTAAAACTTATCACGAAAGTGCAATTGATTCCTAAAACTTTCAGAAAGTGTAGTCAAGTCCTAAAATTTATCACGAAAGTGCAATCGAGTCCTAATACGTTCAAAAAGTGCAATTAACAGAATCACTTGACTTGTCAAATTAACGGAAGGATTTTTGAAAGTTTTATAACTCGACTGCACTTTCGTGACAAGTTTTAGGACCTCCGTCATACTTATCCCAATAATTGATATCCTTCACATCCTTCATATGAATCTTAGTCACAATACGTCATTCCTCGATTTCTCACGGAACAGTGACTATGTCGCAATAAACCATGTCAAACGCCTTGGACACTAGCTGAACCTCACCCAATGCCACCTTTGTTCTGTTTTCTTCTTCATACTAAAATTACAATTCTAACTTCCTCTTCTTTGCAGTTGCTATCGGTGAACTTCGACAACGAAGTGTGTTTAGAATGTGAAGGTTGTCTCACTGGAAAAGATGGAAAGGGTTTTGGTGGCATAGGAAAGAGCTCATGGCTTCCTCCAAGCGTTTCTATCACCTTAGAGATTGGCGGACGATCTGATGGAATGTTTTGAATGCACCACAATCTTATCTGAACCAATTTCCTTGTTATCTGTCCCTCTTCCGCGGTCGTTTTTCCAGGCAACTTTAGATCTTTACCTAACTCGAGACACTGCCGGGGCTGAGGATGGACGAGTGGAGCAGATCCGGCCAAGGCCTGAGTATCCACAGCGGGCATCAGCATTGCCCTTGCTGCCAATGCTTCAGAAAGGGTAGCTATTTGGCGTCCACTGCATTCAGATGGCGAGCATGTCGGCGAGAAGTCACCCCTGCTGCCACAGAAGTCGTTGAAGACGAAGAGGAAGAGGAAATGGAGAGAGTGATTGGACATTGTGCATCCTAGAGATGATTTAAACAGCATCTTGGACTCACATTAATATGCATACTGGCGCGTCAACGAGTAAGCATGATGCTAGAGATACGGAGACTCACGATTCGCGATTGCCATATTCAAACGTCTCGATCTCAATAAGAGTCTATTACACTGTTACATATATATTGACTCTCCATTTCTAAGTTCGTAGCCTCTGTAGTAACTCCATCGATGTTGCCTACCAACTAAAAGGCCTGTTCAGGAGGATTCAAGATGTACGGTGGACTTTCACTCAAAATCTGTCGGGAGAGATAGCCAGATTCAAACATATGCCTCAAATAACATTCAGCTCTAGCGGCAAGGGACAAAAAAAAGAAATAAGAAATAGCAAACAAATTGGCTTATTGGGAGGTGGAATTCATCTGCTAAATCTCATAGTATACAACTCTGCAGTTCTTTAATTTACGGTCGGTTGGCGTTGATGCCATTTACCATGTTTGGAAGGCCGTTTGGTCTGCAATGAAGACGTCATTAAGTTCATCAGTGTGTGCTAAATGATGACACTATCAGTCTTTCTAGAAAGAAGGGCATAAATAACTACTGCATCTGAAAAGTTAAAGCAGATTAGTACAGATTTGGAAATCTTGCCGATAGGTTGATCATGTGATGACCGCTGTTGGTACGCCATAGACTCCGTCTGAAGCCTGAACAATTTGATTGATATTTTGATTCTCAAGAAAATGAAAAGAGTTAAGTACCGAAGAACGCGAAAGCGTGGTGACTCGAACCTAGAGGCTAGGCATAAGCGAGAACGACCACCAGGATTTTCAGTTGAACAGTCCTTGGAGTTCAACAAAAATGTCGCTCATCTCATTGGTCATGTTATACATGCGTAGAATATCAATCTACATGATGGCGGAAGAGTAACATTGCTGGGAACCATTTCTGTGTGAAATATATGAGAGATGACAGTGATCTTCCAAGTTCCAAGTGTGCTTACAAACAGCCTTCAGAGAGTATCTGATCTACTAAGTTGAAATTCTTATATCATTCTTGCTAATTGCTATGATTGTCAAAGTGAAATCCGCCTAACTGTTCTCTCCACTTTCATTGTAACTCTTAAGAAAAACATATTCAATCTAAAGAAAGGCATGACAATTACCTCGATAAGTTCTGCCCTGCATTACCAGGTGTTACTGCTTTCCTCTAAATTGTCTAGTATTCTCTCCTCGAGGCTCCCAATGGAATTCGATGTCGTCATTTCCCAATGTTGTGATGGCGGTTGTGTTGGAGGATACAACATGGGCTTTGGCGGAATTTGCAGTGATTCAAAACTTCCTTCCAACATTTCTATCACCTTCACAATTGGAGGTCGATCAGATGGACTGGTTTGAATGCACCACAAACTCACAACAATCATCTTCCTCGCTAGCACTTCCTCTTCCTCTGTCACATTCATTGGCAATTTAAGATCTTTGCCAGGCTCTAAGTTCCTATAAATCCATTCTGGAAAGTACATTTCACTGCTGTTGGAAACTTTCATGTCAGAATCTCTGAAGCCGACCATTTGAAGGACCAACATTCCATAACTATAAATGTCGGACTTGTGAGAGACTCTCCCCAAGTTTCGGAAAACAACTTCTGGTGCAATAAACCCGACAGTTCCTCTCATGCCAAGAGTTGATACAGCACTCTCTTGCCCGTGACAAAGCTTAGCAAGGCCGAAATCTGAAATCTTTGGAATAAAATTTCGATCGAGCAAGATGTTCTGAGGTTTTATATCGAAGTGCAAGATTCTGGTATTGCAGCCTCGGTGCAGATACTCAAGCCCTCGAGCAATGCCGATTGCAATTTGATGTAGTATCTTCCATTCCAAGGAACTACTCATATTTAAAGCTCTTCCAGAATAAATGAACTGATCCAACGAGCCATTAGGCATGTACTCCAATATTAGAGCTCTTTTCTTCCCTTCGTAACAAAAACCTAAAAGAGTGATAACATTAACGTGAGAAGTTCGGCAAATGCTCACCACTTCATTGATGAATTCTTCTGGGCTACTTTTCGACTCTGTTAGAATTTTCACTGCCACAAGACAATCATCCCGGATCTTCCCTTTATACACCACACCATATCCTCCTTGACCAAGTTTCTCTGAAAACGAGTTTGTCATTTTCTTCACATCGATATATCGGTATCTCCTTGGAACAAGAGAGCCATGGATTCTCATCAATTTCTCAACATCTCGATCTTTCTCGTTCTTGAAGAGTGGAACCTTCAACGAGAAGGCTCCATTTTTAATCTTGCGGATGAGAATGCTACCAATCAAACTACCGACAACTGCAGATGCTATTGCAAGAATAATAATTCCTGGTGCCACCGGAGTATCCCCCTCCGTGAAATCTAAAATTGTAAATTGGTCAAATTAGTGTAAAAAAGAGATGATAAGATAAAATTATTCCCAGACGTGTTTCTCTTGCGGCCCAATCTGGCCTCTCCTTCCCTCTCACCCAGCCCAGCCAATCTAAGCCTCTCTCTCGCGCTCATGAAGACGGAAACAGAGAAGACAAGAACGAAGGAGAAGAAAGCCGGACGCGACAAGAAGCAGACGAGGACAAGAGAAAGAGAATACAAAGGGGAATAAATGGCTGGCAAGCGGAGAAGCGTCGCTCGAAAAGGACAGAGGGGGCGTCGCTAGAAGAGGTCCCGACTGAGAGAGCGACTGAAAGAGAGAGCTTGACGACTGAGAGGGTGGAGCTCGCGATAGGAACGGAGGGGGCAGAGAGTGAGAGCGAAAAAGACAAACGGGCATTTAAAAAAGAAGTGGCCCGCGAATCTGCACGAATGAAGCACAACAAACTAACTTCCTTTTCTGACCCAAAAGAAAAACAAAAACTTCCTTTAGCATATTTATAATTGTTTGAGCTGGTTTAACAGGGAAAGAAGGAACAGAGAAAAGAGAGAACAAGGAATTGGGAAAACAGAAAAGAGAAGCGAAACGCACGAGAGAGGCACAGGGTTTCGGTTCAAGCTTGTCGAAGGCATTTCGTAGCATCTGGCATGAATTCGAAGCATCAATTCATATACTTGAATAAATTTTCTTGATTAAGCTGTAATTTCATATCAGTTTGGATTTTAGATTACCGGGTTGATTCTAGAAGTTGTTGAGCTATGACATCATGTTGTAAAGAGACTTTTGGGTTACGTGGAGTTGTGAGATTTTACATAAGTCGATTTGGGGTTATGTGTCCACGCCGGCGTCATTCGTCTGCCAATTGTCCTATTCCGGCCAAAATCGGTCGGAAGACTATATTAGCAAATCATTAAAAGGTTTAGGATCAAATTATCATAATTGAAAGGTGTAAGGTTGAATTGGCTCCATACAATAGATTTAGAATTTTTTTGGTAATTTTCCCTTTGCACTGCTGGAACCACATTCGAACTACTATGTTTGGTGCCGGTTTTCCTCTTCTCTTGCTATCTTTTGGCTTGGAGGCAAATTCAACTTCTAAGTACGTCGAGTTAGCTTTTCAATAACTCTGGACCCATTTGAAACAGGCATCCAAAGAGTTCAAACTAATAGCTTTAAATTCGATGTGCAAACTGCCGCTCTACAACGGACAACAGCAAGTGTTCTACTTTAGGTGAGATTTTCATTGGCATGTCGGGGTTGTTTTATTATTGAATAAGCTTATTTTAGTCGAGTCTTAATTAAGGTAATTATCTACTTAATTTTGATATCCATTTCTCACTTAATTGATAGGATTTCGAGCTTTCAACTCAAGGTTGTTTTCGTTGTTTGGTTTTGCATTTTTAGACGAGTGGTGTTTATCTTTTCTATAATTTGAAACCTTTTCCAAATCATAAATTATAGATATGTTATAAGTTATGACAGGCATCGCATAGTATGATACTTATAAAAAAACAAAGGGTTAATACCACGAAAAACCCTAAAATGGTACACTTGTGACACATTTACCCCAAACTATTTTTTTTACCATAAAAAACCCCAAACTGGTACACCTGTGACAATTTTACCCTGAATATACCACAAAAAACCCCAAACTGGTACACATGTGACAATTTTATTCCGAACTAATTTTTAATATTATTTTTTTGAATTTTTTCTTTTTTCTTTTCTTTTTTTTTCCTTCACCTTCAGCTTCTGGCCGATCGCCGATCCGGCGACCGGCCAGAGGCGAGCCGGCGAGGGCCGCCCTTGCCGGCGTTAGGCGGCCCTCGCCCAGGCACGGGCGAGGGTCGCCCTCGCCGGTATCGGCGAGGGCGAGGCGGCCCTTGCCCGACGCAGGCAAGCCTCGCCCCGACGCCGGCGAGGGCGGCCCTTGCCGACGCGGGGCGAGGGTCGCCCTCGCCCGATCCGGCGAGGGCGACCCTCGCCCGATCTGCGAGGGTCGCCCTCCACGGATCACGCCCTCGCCCGAGTCGAGCGAGAGCCGCCCTCGCTCGAGTCGGGCGAGGGCGGCCTCGCCAAATCCGGCGAGGGTCGCCCTCGCCCGAGTCGGGTGAGGGTCGCCCTTGCCCCGGGTAGGCGAAAGACGGCCCTCGCCGACGCCGGCGAGGGCGGCCCTCGCCCGGGGCGCCGGCGAGGGCGGCCCTCGCCCGACGCCGGCGAGGGCGGCCTCACCCTCGCCCGATACCGGCGAGGGTCGCCCTCGCCGGATGCGGCGAGGACGGCCCTCGCCCGACGCCGGCGAGGGCGGCCCTCGCCCTCGCCCGATACCGGCGAGGGTCGCCCTCGCCGGATCTGGCGAGGACGGCCCTCGCCCGACGCCGGCGAAAATTGTCACATATGTACCAGTTTGGGGTTTTTTGTGGTAAGTTCAGGGTAAAATTGTCACAGGTGTACCAGTTTGGGGTTTTTGGTGGTCAAAAAAATAGTTCAGGATAAAATTGTCACAGGTGTACCAGTTTGGGGTTTTTTATGGTCAAAAAAATAGTTTGGGGTAAATGTGTCACAAGTGTACCAGTTTAGGGTTTTTCGTGGTATTAACCCAAAAACAAAATGTGGTTTTAGAGCATATTTGTTGCGTAAAACTATATCAGGGATTTACTACTCTTTTAGTTATTTGAAATGGCATAGTAAAGTATACCTGCAATAATTTGGCAGTTGATAATTCAGGAAATGGTTTGAGAAGTGCTATATGAAATGTTTTCTTCTTGATATGAGGAATTTGTGAAAGTTATATCCATTGATTTGTGAACCCGATTTATGAAATGAATTCTAAAATGGTTATGTGACTAGTTAGAGGATTGTATTGATAGTTTAATACTCTTGTCACTATCATTTGTACCCATTGAAGGGTTGTGAGCATGCACAATGTTCTCAAAAAGCCCTATTTGGGCCGAGCCACTACTTCTTGAGAAAATCCCGTATGATGCTTTGAAGATGACAAAATAATCAAAAGCTACTAACGTGTGCATTTCATTATGTAGAACAATTTGTAGATGTACATGCCGATATGCAAATGGAGTCTGAAACAGATGTCTAAAGGCATGGTAATGCTCTGCTTTTATAGAAGGAGAATAAGATACTGGAGGGAAAATGTTTCTTAAGTTTAGAAGAACCTTTGTAGAAAGTGAACAAGCTGTGGATCAATAACCTTTGTAGAAAATGTGTCTAAGGTGATTGTTTACGTATGGAGTTTCCACTTTCCTCTTTTTTACTGTTTCTGTTTTTCCTTCTTTACCGCAACAAGAAGTCGTTAATGGAGGTTTCATGTGACGGATTGTCTTATGTTATTGGTGATTCGGTTCTGTTGTTTTCGTGCCTTGTGAGTGTGTTGAATAGTTCTTCATTTCTTGAATCTTTGTTATGCATGGTGAATCACAGAGAAGAAGAATATTTGGAGGTTTCGATTGGGAGGACTGGAAAATTGGTGATCGATCATCAAGTCCTGTGAATTAATAGAAACTTAATCATCCCCCCTTCTGATCATCATCAAGTCTCGTGAATTAAGCTAGACTCCTCGCTTTGCCTTCTTGGAAAAAGGGAAAGGAAAAAGGAAAAGATATACATGACACGGAACGACAAATGGAGGGAGGAAGAGAGAGATGACACGTGGAATTGACGCGTCTACATTCAACGGCAGCAATGGATGGGGGAGTTAAAGGGTACAGAGGCAAGGTCAGTAATTTTTTATGAGGCAAAAAAAAAATGAGCCGGAATTGGAATATTGTGCTTTTTTAAGGGAATTGGGCTTATTTTAATAACAAGCATATGTTAGTTGTGCTTATGAGCCTTCGTCATTTGGATGGGAAAACGGCCGTGTCATTTCTTCTATGTTTGTAGTATTGAGACGTTACATTTATTGGTATTTAAGCTTTGAGTTATGATATCTCTTTGGATGCAAATTTTGTGGACGTTGTGAGATTATGTGTCAATTTTTAATACGTAAATCTTTTGGTAAGTCCTAAGGTGTGGTTTTCACTCTGTTTACTAACCACGCATTCCTAACAAATAAAAGGCAAACATTCAATATGGTGCGGTTAGCCAGATTTAACATCAGAATGGGCATGAGGACCTAACGAATTGTATGGCTCAAAACTGACCAAGCCCATGAAGTTGTCTGTAGAATGATTAATGGGATTAGCATGGAACATTTTTTTCCATTGTTGGCAAGTTTGACTTCACCACAGGAAACCGAAGTTACTTGAGCCTACTTTAAAACTTATGTATGGTGAGACTCGGGATTCATTTGTTTGAAGGAAAAAAAATTTTGACTATTGTTTTTCGTCTTTCCAATGTTTGGATGACAAATAATCAATCTATAGAAGACGACATTTTCCATGGACTGAAAACAACATGCTTAGATGAAGGGACGACAATTTTCCCTTCTAGTAAGAAGGAAATCACTTTCCCTAAATCACAAAATAAATGAAAACTAACCATTTTCCTTTAAAATGATTTCCATAGAAAATATTTTTCTCTATTATGAAATTTCAGTGAAACAAACACACCATCAAGCTTGTTTTCTTTTCCTTCAAAGAGGAAAAAGTAGAATGATCCAAGGAATTATATTATAATTAACCCGGGCTCAAGCTAATACTCATGAGGAAGAACAAGCAAACAAAAGATTAGGTGTGTGGTGGCTGACTATACTTGCAAGTTCCAACCAAAGCCAAAACAACCCTACTAAAGCTTATCTTGGAATTTTTATCAACTATGAATAAGGGCTTGGAAACATTTAAACTCTGAACCTCCTGCTTTGATACCATGAAAGATTTTGTAGGACCACTGTCATCTATTCTAAAACCTTAAGTTGTTAGACAAAAATATGATTAAATATTTAAATATTCTAAAAGGCTTGACCAATAAATGGATCAGAAAAGAATACTTTTAGCCTAACTGAAGTGGGTAAAATATCATTATCTTGAGTGCTAGCCTTTCAACATAAGCCAAAAGCATCCCATATCCTAAGTTCATGGATTCGGGATTTGTATATGAGTAATATTATTATGGATTTTGTTAAACACCCGATTAAAGAAAACTTATCATTTCTAGTCTTATGTATAATCTGTGCATTGGAAACTTCCTTATTAAGTATGGTTAAAGAGTGCCCCAAAAGCACTATTAACAAGACCCTGTTTGTTGTTACATCAACACCATCATCATCATCATCGGTGATTCGGATAGTGTGTAACAACAAATGAATTGTGTTGTAACGTTGTCGAACCCAAACAATTTTGTTTGGCGTTCTGACCAAAATCGGAACAAAAAAAAGTAGGTTTTTGTTTACGGATGAGAAATGAAAACCATTTCTAAAAGAACTTGTCTTCTCTCTGCAAAACACATCTCTTCCTAAATTTGGCCTCGGTCGACACGGTGGTCGGTGCTGAACGGTTGGTCAGGTTCATTTCGATGGGAAAATTAAAAAATTCTAAAAAATATTAGAAAAATCATTAAAAATATTAGAAAAATCAGAAAAATAAAAAAATTCATAAAAAATTAAAAAATTCCAAAAATTCCTAAAAATTTCAAAAAAAATTTCAGAAAATCCATAAAAATTTCCGGAAAATAAAAAAAAGTTAGATTTTGGGAAAATAGGAAATTTGGTGAATTTTTTCAAAAAAAATCAAAAATTTCAAAACTTCACGAGAATGGTTTAGAATACTGACCACCACTTTAAGTGAAATTTAAATTTTTGAGGTGCCCAAATGATATTTTTGAAAACTCCTTAGTTTAGGGATTTAAAAGGGGTTTTAACCCTAAAAACCCTAAAAGGGGTTTAACCCTCAAAATGGGTCTTTACCCCTAAAAAACCCTAAAACCCTAAAAAACAACACAATTCTTTGAATGAATAAGCCTTTAGGGCTTTACTAGGGTTTGGGTGTTTTGATTGATTTTCATTCTAGAGACCATTTCTAAAAAATGGATTTACATTACGAAATATAAATTTGTGTTATTATCAAACAGGTTTATGTTCCAGGAAATAGAAATTTTATCTTTGTTATCAAACGGATTTTTGCTCCGAAATATAAATTTTTGTCGTTATCAAACGGGTTTCTTTCCTCAAAACTCATCCTGGGAACAAAATAGAAAAATCTATTTTTGTTACAAAAATTATTCGGCAGAATGGTTATCATCTTGCGCCATAGTGTATAACAAGAAATGAATTGGTGCATCCCCAAGTGGAGCTCATAGCAATTTCTAGAAGACAGTTTTTTTAAAGTTTTTCCAAGTGCATGTCCTTGCCACAACTTGCGAAGAGGGAAATTTATGAAGAGATGTTTCACTAATTTTTTATGGGTGGCCTTTGTTGACCAATCTTTCCGGATCGTGAAAAACCAACTTAAGAATATCATGTATACCAATTTGGTCAATAGCCCCGCTGGCTATCCTTGACTGCCGAAAAGCGACTCTTGAAGCCTTGCAAAGTAAGAGATCAGGGGGACAGAACGAAGAAGGAAGAGAAAAGTTCAGAAAACTACGAGGTTCGGAGATCCAAAATCATCTAATAATTCTTCGGACACTGCTGGATTTGATCTTGTAAAACGAGTAAAAGGCAATACTTTCTCGAGTAGAGTTTGGTTGGGGTGAGCACAGAGCAAAGAATTTTTTAGCAGACATGGACCATCCCAACTTCATAGGCACAACAACAACATACTAGTCGTCGAGACGAACTGGCTCATCCTAACGTCTTAAGCCGAATCAAATAGCGATAGGACTAGATGTTATCTATGATTTTCATGCTCTTCGTGATAATTCAATCCCGGCCCAAGCCATTGGTTAAGACTAAGACATCATAGGAATGTTCAAAGTAAGTCTAAAATAAATTTACATACTTGGGCATGTGGAAGAGTCGGACGTATATTAGCAAATGAAATCGCCCGAACTCGTTTGCCGTCCGCACTCCCCACCTGAAGCGAGGCAGCCGTTGCATTTAGCGTCCGCCGTCCACTGCAGCCCGAAGCCCTGACCGATGGCTGACACTACAGTCGTGCTGGTCTGGTTTGACTCTATCTCCTGAATGGCCGACTGGTTCACATCCAGCACCACGCTCACATCGCACCCTCCAAAGTAATTTATAATGGATGTAAGATTAGCGCCGGTATAACTCGTGATATCGCTAACTTTCTTTGTCAGGAAGTTACCGATTACGTTGGTGTCATTGATGGTGCAGTTAAACTGGCTGTCGACGATCAGTGACGTTATCTGACTTGGGCTTGCCTGACACCTGTAGTATAGAGTCAGGTTACCGACCATGGTGTCCGAGGTGTAAGAGAAAGGGCTGGTGATTTCCTGGGTGGTATTGATCAAATAGGTTGGGCAGATATTATTCCAGTAATCCGTTCGGGCAACAGTCATAGTCTGTGAGGTGTCATCAACCTGAAGGACCCGATAGGCCTGGTTCGATATGGTGATCAGCGCAGTCGTGCCGTCCTGACAAGTCAGCTCGAAATCGGGCAGGCCGCAGTAGGAGGCGCGGTTCAACCCCTAGAAGGGGTAACTGACATTTTGCAGGTTGCCGCATTGGATGGTGGAGCTGTAGTTCAAGTCGCTTGTGTTGTCCCCACCGCTCGCTGTCGAAGCTTGGATCTGGATCAAGGTGGTTGCGATGACGTAGCATAGGCAAAGATCCCAAAAGGGATGGCGATGGCGAAGGTGATGCATCATCATTTGGAGGAAATTTTCTGGTGAGATGCAGAGGAAAGGAGAGAAGTGAGGTTGGGTATATGGGGATGTGAAAATAGGGGATGAGGAAGGTGGAATGAAATGGTCTTCTGTGCCTATTCGTCATAAAGAGTTTCAGGAACTTACAATGTATGATTTATCAAAGATCCTAGGAAGTAGAAGGTAGGAAACCGATGGTGCCTTTTTAAATTCAAAAAATGTCAGGCTCAGGGCTGATCCCTGGTCTCGTGGCAGGGCAGGAAAGTGACTATGTGGGGGAGATTGTGTCACACAAGTGGCTCATTATATATTAGCGAGAGTTGACAGTCAACAATGAACGAGCTCCTGAGTTTTTGGTGTTCATTATCTTTGGCAAGTTGTAAATGACATAATGGAGCGACTAGCATCGGAAGAGCAGATGGATAGCACAGGACTTTAGATGGGTCGGTGGATTCAGGGTATGAGCAAAAACCAGGAGCAGAGGCGACACTGTCGAATCCATTGATCCGCGAAAGATGGATTGATGAAGAAAACAAAAAGATTCGCTGATGGGCTGGAGAGTATCATCGCCTTTGTTGGCTATTGCGGGACTTAAAATGACGCGAGATTGATCATCGACAGTTTCATAGATTTCAGATGGTCAGGATGCTATCCATGTCAGCCACTATACGGCGAAACACTGACAACTCCAAGGTCTAGCAAGGCTAGCAGCATTGCATTTCTCGGACTGAATATATCAACACCCTGCCTTAGTACCTTCACACAAAGGTCATAACCTTAAAGCGCCTGTGATTTCATAACTCAGTGATATCGCCATCTTTCCTCGTCAAAAAGGAATCCATCACATTAGTGTCATTGATGGAGCTGTAAAACTAGCAGTTGACGGCCAGCAAGGCTTTGATTGGGCTTGCCTGGCACCCGCGGTGAATTGTCAGGTTACCGGTCACGGTGTCGGTGGCGTCGGAGAAAGGGCAGATGATTTCTGGGTGGTATGTAGGAATATGCTGGGCGGATAGTGTTCCGATGGTCTGTTCTCACGACAATCATCGTTTGGGAGGTGTTATCGACCCAAAGAAGGACCCAACAGGCTTAGGCTCGGTTCGATATGGTGATCTGCTCTATCTTGTTGTCCTGGCAAGTCAGCTCGAACTCGGGCAAGCCGCAGTAGAGGTGTAACTCAATCCCCGGTAGGGACCAGTGATATTGAAAATAAGACACTTACTGTTGTGGTGATTTGGGTCAGATCCCAAGCGAAATAGCTGAGGCCTCTTTAGCCACTTAATCAATATCATTCTTAGCAGATCATGTATATACTCAGAAATTTTCTACGGTCGAAGAATTTATCAACGACGCGATTTACTTCATCATCATGATCATCTTCTCACGTGGCATGAAAATAGGATCAAAGCAGAGAACGGGAGCTGGTTCCACGCCCTCACGCATGCCCAGCCATGTGCTACTGCTTTCTCTGGTTTGAGAGAGATTGCTGCAGGCCCAGATAAAACTCTAATTTAGTGATTACCAGTAATCATTTATTAGCATTGCAAAGATAATAAGTTCTTCACTCGTTGAAGCCGGTTTATTACCGTGGTGCCCCTAGTTTATTCATCATGCAAGTTTAAGATGGGTTTGAGCATAGGGTGCGTTTGTTTCACGGAAAATATAACGTTTCTGGAAAATATTTTCCAGGAAATCATTTTTCAGGAGAATGGTTAGTTTTCCTTTGTTTGGTGATATGTGATCGAAAAAGTTTTCTAGTGTTTGGATCTCATTTGAAAAATTATTTCAAAATGCGCTTGTTTCGCCAACCCGCGCTTGTGGCTTATCGTTGAGGCTGGCGATCGACGGAGGAGGAAGAAGGAAAAAAAAAGAAAAAGAAAAAAAAGAAACAAAAGTAAAAGAAAAATAAAATAAAAAACTAGAATAAAATATTAACAAATTCAAGATGAGCAATTCTGGAAAGTATTTGCACATTCTTAGATTAGGAAATTCACTTCCTAATTTTATACATGAATGTTTTCCTTAAACGGAAAGTGTTTTCGTTGACTTTATCATTTTCGGCGAACCAAATGGGTGAAAGTTCGAAAAATGAATTTCAGGAAAATATTTTACCTCAAACAAATGCACCCATGTGATTATTTATTACAAGGAATGATTTGGTATCCTAAAGCACACATGCGGGGGCTTCATTGCGTTGTGTCTAAGCCTCCATTCGTTTCATGGAAAACAACTTCCAAGAAAACATTTTCCGGATTTTCCGGCATTCGTTTCACGAACAATAAACTTGTCATGGAAAACATTTTCCATATCTTCTTTCACCTCATTTTCTTTCAAATAACACATTCCTTTTATTTTTATTTTTTATTTTCTTTTAGTTTTTTTTTATTTTTAAAAATCGAGTTTTAAATTACTTTTCATTCGTTTCATGGAAAACAACTTCCAAGAAAACATTTTCCGGATTTTCCGCATTCGTTTCACGAAAAATAAACTTGTCATGGAAAACATTTTCCATATCTTCTTTCACCTCATTTTCTTTCAAATAACACATTCCTTTTATTTTTATTTTTTATTTTCTTTTAGTTTCTTTTTTTATTTTTTAAAAATCGAGTTTTAAATTACTTTTTTCTTTTTCCTTTTTTTTGTTTTGCTTCTTCCTCAGCTAGTCGCCAGCAATCGACCACAAGTGAGCTCGAGCCTCGCCACAGGCCGACAAGCTGGGCAAGGCTCGAGCCTCGCTGACCTCTGGCAAGCGTTGCACAGTTTGCCGAATCTAGCGAGGCTCGAGCTCGCCGGCCAATGGCGAGGCTTGAGCTCGCCTATGGCTATGTGGCCGGCGACCGACCAAGGAAGAAGAAAAAAAAAGAAAGAAAAAGAAAAAAATTAAAAAATAGAATTTTTCAGTAATTTTCCCTAGAAAATCAAATTGGATACCGAACGGCGGAAAATATTTTCCAATTCATTTTCAGGTCTCAGCCGAATACCGGAAAATATTGTCATTTTCCTGAAAATTGATTTTCCGGAAAATATTTTTCAGAAACATCACATTTTTCGTAAAACAAACAGAGCTTAAAATCTAATTCTAAAATTAAGAGAAGCATGGGAAGCGAAACAATTTCATTCGGTATCTTTAATAACATCAACTTTCTCGGAACAATTAGATAGGAAAAAGAATAGTCTCATTTTATGTTAAGTGACGACCAACTTCATCAACTTCCTTTAGTAAGTGCATACATCTTTCTTTATACACAAATAATCTCTCTTCGTATACTTACATAGCGCGTGCCTCGCCTCCGATCAGTTTTAAGCGACAAATCCTCTCTGATCAAACGGGCTCGAGACATAAAGAGCATCATGGCCAACTTAGACACGGGCTCGCTCTCGTTTAGGTGGAGGGAACGATGCGTCCTCCTAAATCGCCACATGACGAGAAAAATCGTGGCGGCACGGAAAATTACCAATCTTGGTTATCCCATAAATATGTGGCCTCCATCCATCAGTCATAGACTTCAGCTGCACCAGCACTTTACATGCAACTTGTGTCATGTCAGCACAGCAACAGTGATTGAACCCATGTTACCTAGAAAATCAAATGACCATGGAGTGGCTTCCAATTCAAGCAAATTCCAAACACATGCAAAGGGCCAGGCAGGTGCAATCAAGAGAAGTGAGTGGGGGTGGGCTCACTCATCTGTACACATTATATTATATGGCTCTTTTTTTAACTCTTTATCATGTCAAGACCCTTCTTCTGGCTTTTCTTTCTTCTTTATGTGGAGTAAGTTTGGTGGGGATGATTCCCTTTTGTAACCACAGCATATTCCCTCTCAAACTTCTGGTTTTTCTCTGGCCATCTGATGAGCCGTTTCTTTCATTTATTTGCAAAACCGCCCACGCATTCCGAGTAAATTCCGTAAATCACCCGACGTTCAGTCGGACGAGTTCTCGCGACCCCTTTACCTATCAGCTTCACCAAATAAATTAGATTAGAATTGTTCCATTAGGTATGCTTGATGCGCTAGAGATAGGATAGGAACTTGAATGCAAATTAGGGGAAAGAAAATAAATGGGTGGAGAAAGAGAAAAATTGTTTTGAGATTGAAATCGGGTTTAGGGCAAGAATTTGAACGACCATAGAACGAGAGAGAGATTTAGATTTAAATTTAAAGTATGGGAGAGATTTACGTGATCGGGAGAAAGCTATCTTGTTTTTTTTTTTTTTTTGGGAAATGATAGAGATTGATAAGATTATGCAAATTAAATTTAAACGTCGTTAGGGTGCTATATCTAGGATTGATCCATTGCGTAAGTTGGTTATCTATGATAATCCATTGATTTAACTCCTCGGATTTAGGATTGGCCCCACAAAGGATGATGCAACAAATTAAGTCTTTTCCACTAACAAGTTCAAAATTGGTGAATATAAACTATGTCATCCCAGATTTGAGTTTCAAGCACAAAATAAAAAACACAAATTTTCGGCCAACAACAAATAAATGACCCGAATATAAATGCGTAACGATATAAAGGGTCGAGTTCTGTCAAAGAATATATGCTTTACTTTTCCATAACGACTTGACTTGTCAGGTTTAATATGACAATATAACCATACTTCCGTCGATATAATTACATCGGCTTCCCGATATCATTAATTCAAAATTGAGAAAATGCCCTTGTATATAGCATGCATTCTGAATCAGCATGGAAGTCAAGGATGATCTTCCATTCAAAGTAACAAAGGAATAGGAAGATCTCCATGATTCTCCCACTCCTAAAATCATTAAAAGCTCTTGAAAAAAACAATTTAGAAAGTCAACGTGCTCCTCATAACTTTCTATTTTTTGCCTTTTTGAGGGGCCGAAATGAAAAATTCCCATAACAAACGTGCCAAAAATGAAAAAAGAAAATAAAAACCTCAATTTAAATTCCCCACGATTATTTTTTTTTTTTTGGATAAAACTTTCTAATTTTAAAGAATACGATCAAGAAATGTGCAGATCACAAAGCCGGCCGGGCAAGGGCACTCGAGTCATTTCCCACGCCTTCCGCTCCCGCCACTCCCGACGCGCCACGTCACACCGATGACGGCCGCCGCTGACATGGCGCGCCCCCATTGGCCCATCCAACCCGCCCCCACGTCGAACGACGTCGCTAAGCCCGTCGAAACCTACTGCGAGCAAAACGCTCCACCGTGAAAACCAATGAAGAGAAGCCGCTATTTAGCCCCTCCTCACTCCCGTTTTCATCTTCCCCAAGCCACAGTCTCTCTCTCTCTCTTTCTCTCTCTAGAAAAAGCCATGGCGACGGCGAGGCCGACGCACCTCCAGCTGCTCGCCCTCGCTGTCGCGCTCTCCTCCCTCGCCGCGATCGCCTCCGCCGCCGTCTTCTTCGAGGAGCGCTTCGACGGTGAGCGCTCTCGTCCCATTTTGCATTGTGCCGTGTGTCCGCGGTAGTTTCCGCGCTTCGGAATCGTGAGATTAGGGCCTTCCGAGTTCGCTTTTCGCCGGCGGCAATTGGCCGTGCGCTCGCGGAGTGGTGTCGGCGTCGTCTGGAGTGCGCGCGCGCGCGCGAGATCTGATAGGTTTTAAGCTGGTGTGCTGGCTCGAGCTGTGAAGTCACCGGCTCGAGCCTCGGGTTCCGTGGTCTAGATCTGCGAGAGTTCGGGGATCTTCGGTCCGGTTCGGTTTTGGATCGGCTGAGTTTCGTGCTCAGTTAGATCTCGATGTCATCTTTTGACGGGGTAGCTCAGCACATTTGAGCGTGATTAGGTGTCGTGTGTTGGGAATCCGTACTAATGTTTTGCTAAAGTGGTGCGCAAGACTAGCATTTTGATTATACTGGTGATTTGAATATCGATGCAGACTGTAGTGTGTGAATACGTCGATATCGGCCGAAATTAGCAAGTTCTTGTCGAGTGCTCTCCGACTGTGGGAATTCCGTACCAATGAGGTTACTGCAGAGCTTTTGAGTTCACATGCTAGTCATTTTCAATTGCATATCTTCAGTTATTTTGCGTTTCCTTTATGAGTGAACTTTCGACCAAAGCAGGATGGTATGTAGAAAATTCAGAATACTGATTGAGAGTGTAAAACGTTGCTAAGATGTAGATCGCAATGCAGTCCGGGGTTCTCCCCTAGCTGTTGGCAGATAGTTAGGGATTCATTAAAGTCAGAGACGAGGAGTTTTCAAACTACTTGTGTATTTTTTTTGGTGATTTGAACATGTAAAGCTGTAAAGACATAGTAGGTTATATGTCATTCAGATAATGCGTATTCTTTGCAATTACGATAAGATTCTTCTTTATATACTTATCCCCCTCTTCTCCATTTGTCTGCATGTCTGGTTATCCACAAAAGATGGATGGGAGACTCGATGGGTTAAATCTGATTGGAAGAAAGATGATAACATGGCCGGGGAGTGGAACTATACGTCTGGTAAATGGAATGGAGATGTTGATGACAAAGGTACTTTGCAATCAACTGTTTCTTCAAATAGACTTTTCAATGCTCGATAATAGTTTTTCATTATTTTATTGTGCTTATGGTTTACTTTTAGCAGTAATCTCTCATTGCTTTTTGCAGGTATCCAAACAAGTGAAGACTATAGGTTCTACGCCATATCAGCTGAGTACCCTGAATTCAGCAACAAGGACAAGACTCTAGTCTTCCAGTTTTCTGTAAAACATGAACAGAAACTTGACTGTGGTGGTGGGTACATGAAGCTACTCAGTGGGGAGGTTGATCAGAAAAAGTTTGGTGGTGACACCCCATACAGGTTCTGCAGCAGATTATATGATTATTTTGTGTTCTATTTGTTGGATTTCTTGCTGTCCAGCTTATTGAATGTCCTTTTCTTCATGCTTATTTTTTGGGTTGTTATGTTGTTCAATGCAGCATCATGTTTGGACCGGATGTCTGTGGCTACAGCACCAAGAAAGTTCATGCTATTCTCACTTATAATGAAACTAATCACCTGATCAAAAAGGATGTTCCTTGTGAGACAGATCAGCTTACTCATGTTTATACTTTCGTCCTCCGTCCTGATGCTACCTATACTATCTTGATTGACAATGTTGAGAAACAATCTGGTAGCTTGTACTCTGACTGGGATCTTCTCCCACCAAAGCAGATCAAGGATCCCGAGGCAAAGAAAGTAAATTATTTACTGAATGCTCTGGTTAGTTTTGGTTGGGCTATATGTCTAGATAATGACCTACCTGGCTAATGTTGGCAGCCTGAAGACTGGGACGACAAGGAGTACATTCCTGATCCTGAAGACAAGAAGCCAGAGGTATTGATCCTTGGTTCCTTAACACTGTTATCCTTTTAAATGCAATATTCAAATGACATTGTACGTGTGACTGCAGGGGTATGATGACATCCCGAAAGAAATACCAGATCCCGATGCCAAGAAGGTAAACCTGCAGGATGATGATTCTGATTTAAAGCTGATCTTCTACTATGATTTCATGAAATTGATGTAGAATAGTTAGTTACTAATCAATATGTTGATTTCAGCCCGAAGACTGGGACGATGAGGAGGATGGTGAGTGGACTGCCCCGACCATTGCCAACCCTGAATACAAGGGTCCATGGAATCCAAAGGTATGAAATGTTCTTGTGAGCATAGTTTCTGGACTGCAATGAGAAATTCTCATGATCATGCATGTTTTGCAGAAAATTAAGAATCCTAACTACAAGGGGAAGTGGAAGGCACCATTGATTGACAACCCAGGTTCTTAATCACTACTTCCTTTCTTAAGCTTAGATATGCATCAATGGTATTCTTTTCTTTCTTGTTGTTTGAAAGTTCTTCAAAGTCTAATCTTTTGCACTTTTTATAGACTTCAAAGATGACCCGGAACTCTATGTTTTCCCCAAGTTGAAGTATGTTGGGATTGAACTATGGCAGGTAATTTGTCTGTGACTGTGATCTTGTCATGTTTGCTAACAGTGTTCCAGGAGCTCAAACTTCGAATTATTCTATGCTTCATTTATCAGGTCAAATCTGGAACCATGTTCGATAATGTCTTGATATGTGATGATCCTGAGTATGCCAAGAAGGTTGCTGAAGAAACATGGGGCAAGAACAAGGATGTATGTGGTTATGCTCTTTTTAATTTTTACTTGTGGAAATAGTACGAGTATAGACTATTTATGGTCTTTATTTTTCCCTTGCAGGCTGAGAAGGCAGCATTTGACGAGGCTGAGAAGAAAAGAGAGGAAGAGGTAACACAGAGCTGTTATAACTCAATTACTTTTTGGGAAATAGCAAGAATCTTAGAAGTTTTAAGATTAAATTGCTTCATTATTTAGTGCTACCTGAATTGTCTGACATACTCTTCTCACAAACAAGCATTTGAATATATACTGAAAATTAGCGAGTTGACAGGAGATCACTATGTATTTGTGCTTGTGATGCTGGGTATTATTTATTTGCATATTTTTTGCTGCACAGCTTAAGGTTCTTGACCGGCCTTAATGTACTTGTGTATGTGTGTCTGTGCACATGTGCATGTGCGCGAGTGAGAGAGAGAGAGATGTTATATTCACATTGGTTTTTTACCCTTTTATCTGACTTCTGTCTATCCCTTTTCCAGGAAGCCAAGGATGAGCCAGTAGATTCTGACGTAAGCCTTTTATACCTGCTCTTTAAAGATTCCTAATGTTATTTATTTGGACTGTTCTAACTGTGCGCGTCTTTTTTTCAGATCGAGGATGAAGATGATGATGCCGATGCTGATGATGCTGATGACGATTCTGATTCCGAAATTAAAGCAGCAGATGAGAGCGCTGAGTTTGCTGACCCTAAGGACGAAGTAAAGGTATAAATCTTCCACTTGACGTGGTCATGAACTTCATTTTGCTGCACTTCTTTCGTGTTTGTTGTATTCTCTGATCTTCATCATTTTATGCTCCGTTCACAGGATGAGTTGTAGAGAGAGCAGAGCAATAAGCTGACCAGTTGGGTTCGACATGAGCTCGGTGCCTGAAAGATTTTTCTTTGTCTATCTTTTACAATATAGATGTAGGCCATTTCTTTAGAGGGAGAGAACTGTAGGAGGCTGATCCCAAGACTGAGTGACTGATTGCATCTATATCCATTTTGAATGATTGAGTTTTTCGAACGAAGGCAAATGTTCGTTTTTAGAACAATCGCACTCGTTAAGATAGTCTGGATCTGCTGCATGTGGTTTAGATATTGCCATCAATTCGTATCGCTCTTCTCTCTTTGATTTGGTCAGTCTATCAATAGCTGATGGAAGCTGTCGATACGCGCCCCTTTGGATTGTATTGTTGCGGCATCAGTTCGCTCTAGCGTCCGCAATCTGTGAATCGCGAGTGACAAGCAGGCTTGTCATCCTCTGCAGTTGCCCATGATTGCATGTTTTCAAATATTCCCCTCTTTTACCGAGAAATTTAGCTTTGAACACGCGCTGCGTAATGATTAGGTCGAGCACCATATCCATCTCGATGATCAAATTATACTAAGAAAAACCAATCCATTTACAAAGTCAAAAACTCATGAAGAATATGCGTATATACTCGCAGCCTCGGTGGACACAAGACCGCACGTGGGCAATGTAATTAGTATGTGTACGATGAAACTTTACAAAAGCACCCGAAGACAACATTGGAGGACTAGGACACAACACGAGCGCCACCAACTTTGCAGGTGTTGATTTTAGTCGTTCCCGCTGGATTTGGGCCTCTTCACTACCAGCACGGGACACTTGACATTCTGAGAGCAGTGATAGCTCACGCTCCCCAGAAAGGCCCTGCCACATTTCACCAATCTCAATTGAATATCGATACAAAAGAGAAATTTACAATGAAGACCAAACCTCATTACTTCCTCTCATTCTACCAATTCGAATGAATCAATGAATAGTCAACCAAACACTCAGGGAGACTTCTCGATTGCCCACGTACAGGTGGGGACAACCTTCAATCGGGGTGAGCAACTGGACCGATTTTTATTTGTTCTTTGTATATTTTTTGAAGAAAAGTCAGATATGCTAGAGATGGGTTCCAAATTCAAAAGTTTAGGTAATCCATCAATTTCTTAACCACCACACCCCAAATTGTTTACACGACATGTTTTTTTTTCTAAAAGAGTGGCTACAACATTTAAAGTTAGGCCTGGTTCTCGGATGTTCACGATAGGAATCCAGAACCTACCCACCAAAGAAGCATCCGCCCATGCTTTCAAACATTAGAGTTGTCTCGAGCAAAGGCTACATTAATACATGCCTTCCCTCCGAATCGATTGATTATTAGAGTCGACATCTTTGAGTAAATAAATCAAAATGAGTAGAGTTGGAAGTACCTCTTGATAAGGCCGTAACCATGGCTTCCCATCACCAGAACATCAGGCCCCAACTCCTGTGTCACGCGGCAGATCACGTCTCTTGCATCCCCGTTCTCAACCCTCGTCTCCACCTCGACCTGTCCCCCAACAACAGCAACCCACACTAAATCCTCAGATGTTTCTGTCGTTGAAATTGAAAAGCACATGCCTAGATACAGGATCTCACCTCACCAAAATCATTGCAGACCTTCTTTGCCTTCGCCATAACGCTGCCGGCCATTTCCTTGTTGTACCTCTCCATGGTGGCCACTACTTCCGAAGAAAAGAAGTACCCTGAAACAAGAACGAAAAGAAAAAAAATGAAGTTCAAAACCACTCTCTCTGCTTTCAAGAGATGGCCTCGGAAGCGAAAGTAGACAACCCATCATGACCTTTGTTCTTACCTGTGCCGTCGAGGGTTGCGTAGGCGGAACGAATGGGCTTTGCATAGAGGAGGACGACGGTGTCTTTGTAGTTCTCAGAAACGACGTTCTTGAGACACCACGACAAGGCATACATGCTCTCCTCGCTCTCGTCCACGGCCACCAGTATCTTCCTCTGTTTCACCACCGCATCGGCCATCCCCTCCTCAAAAAACAGACAGACAGACCAGGAAAACGGGAAAGTGTTTTCGCCTTCTTTTCAGTACGAGTTATGGACAAAACGAAGAATATGATGCGTTGTTCGATTCAAGGTAAGATGTGATGAAGTGATTATTTGTAAGGGAGACAGAGAGAGAGAGATGTTGGTTTGTTTTGCGTTGTTGAGAATCAGACTCTATTAGCTTCGTGTTCTTTTTAGAGCAGATTGAGTATAATGGTTTTCATTTTTGAAGACTGCAAATGAGCAAAGAATGATAATTCAGAAGCTGACTGTTTTTTTTTTATTATTTTCTCTTTGCCGACGTGTCTTCAGGGCGTTGACTTTTATGCCGGTCAACCTCATGACACCAGTACTTGGAATTATTGGACCAATCTATATTGTCTTTTCTCTTTACCTATTGGAACCCAATCAAATTTTGAGATATTATTTGAATTTCAAAATAAGTTTGATGAAGATTTCCTAAATCATAATTTAAAATCCCTAGTTTTATTAATTGCGTATGAGTGTGCTTTTTCATGATGAAAATGGCCTAGCTGTTTCGTCAATTACACTTTGTAGCATTTTATAAATTTAGATATATTTAATTAAAAATACTTGTGTATAAATATTTTATCCCTCCTAAGCATGAGGTAAAATTGCTTTGTATGAGGCCTCGTGCAAATCTCGGCATGCCTTGGACGTAAAACACCTAAAGGGTATTCCACCCTCCTGTGAAAAAAAAAACGATTTAGAGGGAATTAGGGGGATTGGGCATGCGGACGCTGACACGTTAAAATAAGGAATGCAGCCTGACAGCTCGCCAAGTGTATACAACTAAATAGGCGGAGCGACCCCAGTCAGAGCTTCAGCACCTGCTATGTGGTGAGGTTTCCCTAACCAATTTCGAGATATTAGTGGAATTTTAAAAAATTGCGTGTGTGTATATATATATACTGATTTAAGTGTCAACATTTGTATATTCTGAAATATGTTATCCTTTCTCCTTAATTGATTTGTTCATTAGTCTTGAATAATGTGTATCCCAAGCTCCTTATATATTAATTGGGGCCAATACGATTCGATTTAGTATCAGAGGAGATAATTAATAGATTATTTTAAGACGAATTTGACTTGATCAACTTCTTAAATCATGTCATGTATCACTCAAAACACATATAAATGAGTGGCTAATAATGTGTTAGGATAAACGTTGATCCCCCATTTGTGCTTTTCGTGAAGCAATGTGCCATGATCTTGGAAGCTGATCCCCCTTCCTGGATATTTATAATTGCAATTTTCCACCACTTGAGTTAAATAAAACTAAAGAGGTTCCTTGTGGGTTTCAACATTTAGACATGATGAAAAGGGAAAGAGGGGTTAGAGATAATCTTGAATTAAGAAAGAATTGCTTGATAGCTTTACTCTTTAAGATGGGATAGAGATTGATTTCCACAACATAATTAAATTAAACTTTGCTACTTCTACATGGTGCTTTCTCAATAAATAAGGAAACTTATTGTAAATTATTATTCTAATTGAAGCTTGAGCTTTGGAATCACAGGAAGCTTCACGGAGAGCCAAGCATATCATCTTCACCGGTTGGTGAATATTAAGAAGGGTATTAAGACAAAGTTAATCTTTTCTACGAGTGCAAACTTGTTGGGAACGTAATAGCACTTTGATTTAATTATAAATATATGTCATCTTTAGTAATTACAAATCTTTGATCTTATCATAATGGAATCTTGAAGTGTTGCCTGTCTTTTCTAGGGAAGCAAACTCGCTTTTGGCCAAAAAGAAAATAGAAAAATCAGGAAATATATGAATAGGGAGTTGATGAGGAGAAAACCATCTCTGTCTGAAAATTGACTTTGTTTATATATTTTTTTATTTGTCCTATCTCTAACTCTCCTCACTCTCTGGTTTTTTGTTCTATCTCTTGTTGAGCGTAGGAGTCAAACCCCGCATCTGTGATATTAGCGTCCCCAATCCTCAATCCCTTTACCAGCAGGGCTGCATGCCTATTGGCATGAAAAGTGACTTTCTTTAAAAATCTTTTATGATACATTGAACAACTTCTTGTTTTTATACTACGATCTTTATTTTGTTTCATTATGAAACAGGATTATGCATAAAATGAATTCCGATACAATATGTGTGTACATATTTAAACTTTCTGTCGTAATGCAAAACATTTTGATAAAAATGACTCATCATAATCAGCCATAAACTATCATTATGCCCAAGATAGGTAATAAATGGGAAATTCATATATAATTACAAAAAAGAAGGAAAAAAAAAAACATTGACAGGTATCAATCAAGTAAGTACTTTTGTTCAAAAGCTGATCAAAATTGGACAAAGTTTCAGCATCATGTGAGCGAGCCTTGTTCATATTCTTAGCTTTATCACCAATATTTGTCCGGGAGAAAACCTAAAACAAAAAAAGATTTTATTATATTATTTTGAGTATTTTCGAAATTCATATCTAATCAACTATTTAAATTAAATCAGCATGCTATTCAAATAAAACATGTGAATACACGATTCCATAATTCATGCCTTCCATAAATGAATGTTGATTTCGAGAAAAATGACGGAGTAGGTTATATTATATTATTTTGAGTATTTTTGAAATAGGCAGTGAAAATAATCCCATGTGTGGAACCGCGATTTACGGACTGATGACTCTCGAGGTCTCTTTCTCTTTGGTTGGCATATGGCTTTATATAATAGAGGTATCCAAATAAATAACTATGATACTTTTGGCAGAATATCGACATAATTTATATAAAAACTAGTCTTTATTTCAGTAGCGTAGCCAAGTCATTACTAAGACGAAATTTTTTTCCTAAAAGAGCTTTGCTTACAACCTGGCTTCCTACTGATTAAAGAGAAAAGATGGGAACGCGCATTCAAGCTAAGATGAGAGAGAGAGAGGAATGAATTTACCATGATCAAAATAAATGGACTGAGGCCCTATTCATGGTGTAATTTTGAAAGCAAAAGGGGAATAATGATGCGTTTAGTTCAGTTTTCTCAAGGGGATTTTGGCCCACTTAAGTCATTTAAGAAAAAAGTTAGGGCGTTTGGTGAATTTTTTGTGGACCACTTTGGAGAAATGTTAGCATTGGCAAAGTTGAAAGCCCAAGAAACCGCCTTGGGCTTTTATCATTTTTGGAAGGCAACTTCCAAGGTTAATGAACTTTGTTTTTTGCAAAAGTGCCCCCACTAATATTTTCATATTCTAGTCTCGTCTTCGCAACTGGTCATCTTCTCTCTGCAGATCTAAACTTCATGGATGTGTATTGAAGAAGTTGGATGGACGCCAGCAATGAGTCGCCTAGGGTTCACGATATCGGCATGACATTCCCTGGGGTTGCGTGGCCTCTTTGACAAGTTGCCTAGCTCGCGTGTCGCCAAAGTCTAGATCCGGTGCCTAGCTCATGCAACGCCGAAGTCTAGATCTGGCTCGCCCAAGGTCACGCGACCTCGGGATCAACTCCAGTGGGGTCGCACCAATCGTCGGAGGGCCAAATATGGGAAACTCAACTGTCGAAAGGCTAAATCTAGGAAGCTTGAGGTCATGTGACCTCAGCGGCCCTCGCTTGGGGTCGCAACCTTGGCGAAGGCCCTTGCTTGAGCTGAATTCATCGCTTGGTGCTTTCGCTGAGCTTCAACAAGGGTTGCAACGAGATCTGCTATGATGAGGGCCGCCAGTCAAAGCTCGCCTAGCAGATGATCGCCTCTAGTCATTGCGAATGCTAGCCTATGGTCGCCGTCCAAACTCCCCTAATCCTCTTTGCCTCTAGTCGCCCAATTGCCTGCCCTCTCCTCTTTCTTTTTGTACTTCAGAGTTGTTTTATAAAACATATACCAAAATCAATTATTCAAACGCTATTTACTTTTAGCAAATACATCTTCATTCAAAGATCCTCGGGGAAATGACTTTACATCTTCTCAAAGTTGAACCAAACACAGCCTAAAGCTACTCGAGGAATGCAAATTACCTAAGCAAAGATTAAAAAAAAACTTTGTGACCGTCAATTTTTTTTTATTTAACTAGGGAAAATCAGGTTGGGATGGGCCTCGTACCATCGCACCCAGTTCTTGTAGAGCCAAGACTGCACGATCGAGGGCCAGAGCTAGACCACGCGTCGCATAGTGGCCCGCCACCACTATGTAGTTGGGATTGTGCATTTCTGCGAATCAAGCCCGAAACAGAGCGAGAAAATATTGGCTAGGATGGTCTTGCCACGTCATCCATAGCCACCCCATTCGTTGGGCGACGTGTGACACTATGGGTCCCACTCTTTCTCCTCTCCGTCACTCTCTCTTCCCCGTTATTGTTAGCGTTACTGATCAACTCTCTCTCTTCCACTCTACACTTTTCTCCTCTTCTTCTTCGTCTACCTCCCATAGATCTATCAGTGTGATTCAATGAGCTATGCCTAGAACTTCGATCACGGCAGGAGATCATCTTTGTTCATTGAAGCTTATTGATTGATTGATTAATGCCGTAGTGAGAGAGCTAGTAAAGGAAATCAAAAAAAAAAAGGAACGAGGAGGAGGAGAGATCCAGAAGTGATGGAATAAAAAGATCCCAAGATCTAGACCCCAATGGATTGAGTTGCTTGTCTTCCTTCTTCTTTTTGTAGCTGTTGCCGATTGTTTCAGGAGTTTATTCTTTTCTTGTTTTCTAGTTTTTTTTTTCTCTCTCTTCATATTGGTGAGGTTGATGAAAAAGATTGCTCCTTTTTTTTTCTTGTGAGCCTGTAATTAGAGAGCAAATGAGAAAGAGTTGTATCAATTAAAGGTAGAATCTCAGTACTGCAGTATCGAGAATTGATATTGTTGGGGTCTGTGTAGATTTAGCAACATTTGTTCTTCCTGTGCACAAAAAATCAGGTCGCAAATGCTTGGAGATCAAGCACAATGCAGAGGTTATGGCCACAAAAAAGAAAAAAATAGGAAAATGAAAAATAAAGCTCCACTTCTGCATTGTGCGTTGATTATGGAGGTGGCGTGGATATGGATGTGTGCCGAAGAAGAAGATGGTGAAACGGGGCTGATAGAGAGAGACTCTCTCGGAGAGTAATGGTGGTGGGCACAAAAGTTTGGGTGAGAGGGTGACGGAGGAGAGAGAGGAGAGTCAAGGTGAATAGTGGGACCCAAGAAAAGTGTAGAGTGGAAGAGAGAGAGTCTGTTAGTAACGTTGATAGTAACGGGGGAAGAGAGAGTGACGGAGA